ACCTAATCTTGTACCATATGGTAGAAAACTATATGAAGCAAATATTCAAACCAGTTTGTTAAGGATATGTAAGTGAGAAACCAAGAGTTATCACTGTTTGTGTTTATTGCCCAAAAAGTGCTGCATATTTCATTCCCTCCGTTACCGACATGAGTTTTTTTTTAAAATTTTTGTCAACAACTTGAAAGAATATCACAGGTTTAACTTGACCCTGTTGGAGTGTAACTCTTTCCTACATTCTGATATTTTACTTATTTCAATAGTCCCTCTAGTTTCTGAATAAGAGACATTTGAATGTCAAAAATCTGCCCCTGTTTCCCTCCGTTACCACTTGACCAAACCCAATAATAGATTTTCTTCGGCTGTTTTGTGGAGTGGGTAAGACTGTTTTTAGTGTCAGGATAAACTATGACCATTGACATGCACTAGTCTAGCACCAGTGACCTCTGCAAACACAAGGACTGGATGGAATATTTAAAAAAGAGTCTCCACACGTCTCCAACACTCTGGCTCACGAGGAAATGAGGTCCTATGTCCAAAATTCTGGACTGTCCCTTTAAAGCAGACATGTCAGACTCAGGACCGGGAGCCAAATTTGGCCTGCCATATAATTATAATTGGCCCGCGAGATCATCAAATATATATTAGAACTGCCCACCGGCTACAGATAGACTATAGAGACATTATTTATTTAAAATGTTGTTATTCATTTATATTATGCTTGTTTTGGATTCATTGTTTAAGCAAAACTATTATTAAACATTTATTTTTTACATATCTCGTAAGAAGAGAAAACATGCACATGTTGTTGAAATTCTTCCATAAATATTGTCCGTCTGTGAATTTCAGTTTGCCACCGTTGCTTTAAAGTTAAAGAGCAAATTCCATCAGAGAATTCAGATTTGTCTCCATCTTAGTTTAAACTACGCACAGACCCAACTAATGTTATTTTAATTCCACATAGAAACTCAGTGTGTTCTGTGTGAAGTGGGGCGTGCGTCTGTGAATGGGTCAGTGGGTCAGCTGCGGGATTGGCGGGTGGCGAGTGCTAAGCCTTCTGGGTAAGGAGGGGGCGGGTCTCTGGTCTCTTTGGGGTCAAATGTTAACAGGGGTGAGGAGGTAATTGATGTCAGGAAATGTGAGGAGACCTGCGCCTGGGTGGGTGTCAACTGACCGCCGGAAAAAAAAACTAAACCAAAAAGACGATGCTGCATGGTCTGAAAAAATATATAAATCTTAACATATCTGTAGTTGGGGTCCGCCACCTGCTCGTTTATATGGATATGTCATTGCTCTGCCTGGAATGTTCCACAGTGTGACTTTAAACAGCTCTATTTTACTTTTATTTATTCAATTACATTTTGTTTTGTAGCTCAAAAATACCTAGAAAAACAACATTCTGACTATGAGTGGGGTCGCCTCTCTGCAGATCTGACCTGTAGCTTGGTCTGGTTTAGTCTCCATGAAGATAGAAAGGTTTAATGCCATACTGTGAAACATTTCAGGCAAAACAATAACGTGTGTATTCTGGATCTCAGGCAAAATATAAATGGAGAATTAGAAACAAAATATTATGTCTTTTTGAATGGGTACAAGTTCTTATAGTGCCTCATATTGATACTTTGCAGTGACATCATGCTGGCGATGTTCTACATGTGTCTCTATGGAGGAATGCTCAACAGTTTCCGCAGCAACACAAGCACACATAAGCAAATGCTGACAAAAATGTTTTAAGATCTGAAAACTCAAGAAAAAACACAAAATAGATACAAAAATAATACAAAAATAAAAATAAAAAAAAATAAAAAAAAATAGATACAAAAATAAAAATAATACAAAAATAAAAATAATACGAAACGAAATAATACGAAAATTAAACGAAATGAAAGAAAAAAAATATATACAAAAAATTAGGGTTGTCACGATGTTCAAGTCTCACGATACGATATTTATTCTGATATTGTGGGAAAGCTCACGATATGGTGGGGAAGTTCACGATTAGGGATGTAACAATATCCAAATCTCTCTGTACGATACCAAGTATAGGTTAGATTTTTGGAATTTATATGACTTTTAAGATAAATTGTACTTTAAAAAATCATAGTATATTTGTACATGAGTATTTATAGAGTATATAAGAGTTGTAGAATTGAATTTAGTAAATTTTTCTTTTTTAAATCCATGCTCGTCTTAAAATCCAGTGTTACGTTAAGTAACAACTGAACTTTGTCGTCGGTCCACGAAAAGTCTGTTTTTACACTCGCCATCTCCCTTGGCTCAAAATCAGCTGCTGCAACTTCAGACTTCCTTGTTTTTATCGCTCACGTGACTCGTCACAATGTCCCGATGTCACGTGAGCGCTTTTCAGGTGCTTTTGCATTACCGTGTGGACAGGGAACGCTTTGATTGTGGATACAGAACGCAGACGCAGATCCTTTCCGATACGGTGATACGCGGATTCGTTTCAGTATAAACGGGGCCTCAGACGGAGCATGCCTACAGTTAGCGTCACAGCTCCAGGGAATGTTGATGAGCTCTAAAGTATCAATAAACAGGAAAGTGGAAGCCATGATGAGCCTAAAATTATTCCCGCAAATAAAAAATGGGCATTAAATGAGCAGCGTAACAAATCTTTCATTTTATTCCTTGCAATGTTGCACAAAAATACACCTGTTAACCGTCGCCTTACAACAAGTCATTTGTTTTTATCTGAAATGAAAGCTATAGCTGTTTATTTTCTCGTAACAGAGCTGTATCAAAAACTACAAACCACGCGAAGTGTATATTTACTCACGGGGTTCAGACTCACAATTCCTTCCTGATTTGAAGGACCTTTCCCCGTTTTGAATTGAATTGCTTAATTGCTATGACGACGGAGTTCGCTGCCGTGGCTTTAAACCTGTGAATAGGAGCATTTCCACCTCAGAAGAGACATGTGGAAAATCCAGATTAGAATCGTCCTCCATTTCCTCTGCTTCTATTCTGAGGGAGCTGTTTGTTTTCGTTTGGTGGAGCAGTGGTCCCTGGAGTGAGGAGGAGCACGTGGAGCCAGTCGTAATTTACAAAATACAGCCCACAACAGCAGCTAAAACAATAAATAACGCGGTATATTGTCGTACTTATTGAGGTTAAACAGAAAATGTAATAGCTTTTTTTAATAAACATCCTCGATTAGCAGAGAACCTGATATCAGTGTAAATATATTTTGTTTTACATTATTTAGAAATCAAATTCACATTTACAGTGTGTCATTTAGGTTTAGTTTGTGACATGTACTTACAAGTATTTACCACCAGATGGCGACAACTCCACATCAATGCGCTTTACAGTATCAGGGCTTTTCTATTAAACTCTTTTCTTGACTTTATTCAGTGGTTCTCTTTGAAAAAATATATAATTTTTTCATTTAAATTAATATTACTCTGTAGAATTATTAGAATCACTTGGAAAAAAAACTTTCTTAACTTAAAGATGCACTTTTCTAGTCCATGGAGATTTTATTGGTTTGTTTAGAACAGATGTCTCCAACCTTTTTACCCCTGTGAGCTACTTTTGTAAAACGAAAATGCCAGAGAGCTACTAATTTTAGCAGTTGCTAGAAATTTAGTAAATGTAAGAGGCATGGCAAGCTGTAGATCAGGTACAGTTAGATCAGGGGTGTCCAAACTTTTTTCATCAAGGGCCACAGATCTAAACACAGAGGAAGCAGAGGGCTGATCGAGGGCCACAGACTGATGCTCAATACAATGAATAATTGAAATATGTGCATGTTGAACACATCAGCCGTCAGTCCTTTATTCATACTAAGATCCTTAAAACCAACACACTAAATATTAAATATTGGCTCTATCGAGGTAGATTTTCAAAAAACTTGCAATAAAAAGTAAATTTTTCAGTGAAGCAAGGTAATTTGGGCCAGTTCTCTTGAAAGCCTGAGGGCCAAGAAAAATTTGTCTGAGAGCCGCATTTAGCCCACAGGCCATAGTTTGGACATGTCTGAGTTAGATGCTTATAAAACATCACCCATTATCCAGTATTCAGTGCATCAAAATGATACATTTACAATGGAAATAGACATTTAATCAATCAAATTTGAGTTTTTCAGCTCAATATGTATAATTCAGAAATCACTTGGGGGGTTCTTGAAAGGGGGTGGAGAGCTACTGGTAACTCCCCTAGAGACCCCTGGTTTAGAATGTTCCACAGTATAGCATTAACCTTATCTCTCTCATGTGAGACAAGCAGGTTACACTACTAGGCAACATTACAAGTTAGATCTGTGAAGAGGCGACCCTATTCAGAGTTCATGTATTTTTGAGGATTACAACTGTCCTAAAGAGTAAATGCGAGATAGATATGTTTAAAGTCATACTGTGGAACATTCCAGATAAAACAATAACATCTCCAAAGAAAAGCAGGTGGCAGATAACCAGGCTGGTGCCACCTAGTGCCTCCACTCAATTTCATTTCTCTCCAGTGACTAGGTCAGGAATCAGAATACACTAGACGGTTTTCAAGAACCCAGGAAGTTGTAGACCGTGCACCGTCCAATCAGAGAAGAGCTGTGAAGTCATGACGTCAAACTCAAGCATCGATATGGGTCCTTTTGTGGTTCAGCACAACAGTAAACAAAGCGTCAGGATGGATGTAGACGAAGACAGACATTCTGTGTTGGCAACGATTCCCGAGTTCGAGGATTTAAAGCCGGAACAAAGAGAATGTTTAGTGAATTTTATCAAGGAGAAAGACGTTATTGTCCTTCTTCCTATGGGATTTGGTGCATTACATACGTCACGACCAAATAGCAGCGATTGGTTAAATAAAAAAAGTACCCGCCTACTGTTGAGCGAACAAATCCTAATGCTGCGAGGTCACCACAAGAATTGCCAATGCACCTTTAAGCAATACCAAACAAATGTTACTTTCATAGTTTTTTCATGTATGTTAGACTCTTACATTTGTTATAACCCCATATATGTGTGTGTGTGTGTGTTGTGTAGGCGGTGTATAACCTGGCCAACGTGGCGTGTAAGTGTCATGGCGTCTCCGGCTCGTGCAGTCTGAAGACCTGCTGGCTCCAGCTCGCAGACTTCAGACGAGTGGGAGAGTTTCTGAAGGAGAAGTACGACAGCGCCGCTGCCATGCGCATCGGGAGAAAGGTACACACACAGAACACTGAGACAAACACTGGAATATTGTGTACAAGTTTATTCATATTCATATATAGATACACACAGAAAAATTATATAGGCTCCGGAATATTCAAGTCAAGTTTATTCATATAACACTTTTAAAACTACTTCAGCTGACCAAAGAGCTTCACATGAATGTCACAAACAAAAATACTGTATTTTTCGTACTATAAAGGCGCACGTCAAATCCTTTAATTTTCTCAAATATCCACACTGCGCTGTATAATCTGGTGCACCTTATGTATTAATTCTGGTTGTGCTTACTGACCTCGAACAGATTTTATGTGGTACATGTCGCTCAAAAATCTGCCACAATGTTTTAATACAACTCTGGTAAACTATGAAGCCACGTCGCTATATGGTCTATGTGTAAGACCTGCAGATTTATAATCTCTGAAAAATGTCATATGCGACAGAAACACAGAACAGACTCACCATCATCAGCACATCCTCTGTCACAGAGAGAACACTCATATTCCACTGAGTCGTGTCCTTTAGTCCAACAGAAACTGAACTGCATCAGAGCACAAGGAGTGAACTGTTTTTTCAGCGCTCAGTTTATGCAAATGAGCCATGTGGTTTTAAGTTTAGTTTCTGTAAAATGTAAACAAATGTGCACAAAGCTGCATTAAACACATTATTACTCAATGTATACTTGAGTCGCCCTCGTAGAAAATGCAAAAAAAAAAAACATAAATGATCCACCCACATTCACATTCATAACACACATTCACCAGACAGAGAGGCAACGCCGTGTGAATTACACCACGATCTACCGATGGATCGTGGACGCCTGAACTAAGGATCAGTCTCAAGTGTCGTCTGTTTGTTTCACTCAATGTACCTTATGTATGAAAATAGACGAGAGAATTCAACATTATTGATATATAGTCCAAAAAATACAGTACAGTACAATTACAGATGAACTCATATATAAGAAAAGTACAATAAAATACAAAATTATATTAATTCATTAATTAATTCATTCATTAATCATTGCATTTATATAGTGCCTTTTAAGATACCCAAAGCACTTTACAGTTCATTATTTATTCATTTCACACTTGATGGTGGTACGCTACTGCTGTAGCCACAGCTGCCCTGGGGCAGACTGACGGAAGCAAGGCTGCCAATCTAGTCTACATTGAGCCTGATTTAGTTTCAGTTTATCTTAAAAGGTTCTATATTAAATAAAAATTTATTCTTGTAAGCTATAAACCATATTAGAATTTTGTCACATCCTCAAAAACAGATCCAGAGTTGTGTTTTGTTTCATTCACACATGTTTGAGTAATTCTGCATTATTAGTCTCTTAACATCTCCAAAGCTCAAAATGCTCTGTTCCACCTCATGATGTTATGTAGTGGTAGTTTTCACATGAATAGGTTCTATATTACTGTGACATCACAAGGTGGAACAGTGTGTTTTTTTCAGTTTGAGAGAAGAACTCAGCCTAAATATGCAGAGTCTGTGTGTAAATGAAACAAACCACAACTCCAGGTCCGTTTGTGACGAGGAAACATTATTATAACAGAAGAGAAAACAGCGTAATACAACCTGTTTAAAACTCCTCTTTCTTTCTCTCACAGGGCAAACTGGAGCAGGTGGACCGGCGCTTTAATCCCCCCACCCCCGAGGACCTGGTTTACATCGACTCCAGCCCCGACTACTGCCTCCGGAACGAGACCACGGGCTCCATGGGCACCGCCGGGCGACTCTGCAACAAAACGTCCGAGGGCATGGACGGCTGCGAGCTCATGTGCTGCGGGCGGGGCTACGACCAGTTCAAAACGTACAAGCACGAACGCTGCTTCTGCAAGTTCCACTGGTGCTGCTACGTCAAATGCAAGAGGTGCACGACGCTGGTGGATCAGTACGTGTGTAAATAAAACTGGAAAAAAAAACACTACTGGAGCCATAAGGATTCCGAGGATTTACACTATCCTGGTTTTCGGATGTCAATTTGGAATCCGTCGGAAAATTCAAGCCACCAAAGACGCTATATGTGAACAGTGCGAGTGGTAAAAGATATAAAAAGATGTTGATTTGTAAAAAATTCTTGACGATTTCTGCTAAAAATTTAACATTGCATTAAGGACTATCAAAGTACTGCAATCACAAGACGGACTGGACGGAGTTTGAGGTGTCAACATAACGTCCCTTCTGATTCTACCGTCATAAATATTACGATCAATAACACAATTACGATATTTTCTGAGTCAGGTTATAATGTTGTTTCCTCATCGAGAACAGACCTGGAGTTGTGTTTTGTTTCATTTCATTCACACGTTTAACACACAAATCCTGCATATTTAGGCTGAGTTCTTTTCTCAAACTGAAAACACCCCGTTCCACCTTGTGATGTCATGTGGTGATACAAGAAGAAATGCTCCACTGTGTTTTAAAACTTCTTACATCTTCGCTAGAATCATCTGGATGATTTCGGTCCTGGAATTGTCAATCTCTACTGAACTGAAAGTAAAAGGAGCTGTTAACTTGAAAACAACAGCTTCATGACATCACAAGGTGGAACAGAGCGTTTACGAGCTTTGGAGATGTGGACAGACTAATAGAGGTGTACAAAAATATCAAAATTTCGATATATCTTATAGTTTAATGTGATGATACAGTATCAATACCGTGGGCTGCTGTATTGATATATATCTCCAAGAGTATTTTTTAAGTATATTTTACTAAATTATTTTGTTTGTTTTGTCACTTGTTTAGTGGAAGGAAACTCGTTCATGTGACACATTTGACATTTTCACTGTTTCGAGGATTAAAATGTTTGTGTTTCATACGAACTTTGCACAAGAACTGCTTTAACAAAGACTTTTAGCAACATGTCAAACTCGGCCCCGGGGACCAAATTTGGCCCGCGATAAAATTTTATTTGACCCATGAGATCATATCAAATATGTATTAGAGCAGATAGACTAGAGAGACATTATTTATTTAAAATGTTGTTATTCTGTTATATTCTGCTTGTTCTGGATTCAATGTTTAAGCAAAACTATTATTAAACATTTATTTTAATAAGAAAAGCTTTAACATTACATATCTTGAAAGAAGAGAAAACATGCAGATGTTGTTGAAATTTTTCAATAAATATTTAGTTTGGCCCAGTCCCAGTTTTTAATTTAGTTTTTTAGTTTGTGAATTTGAGTTTGACTCCCCTGCTTTTAGTATCACAGCCATGATTTAGCCGTTATTTTTTATTGAACCGTATCGAAATGATTTGAAATATATCGTATTGAATCAGAAGCACACTGTATTGAGGTATGTATCGTATCGGCAACTTCTTAATGATACTCAGCTCTACAGACTAATAATGCAGGATTATTCAAACGTGTGAATGAAACAAAACACAAGTCCAGGTCTGTTTTTGAGGAGGTAACAACATTCTAACATGACTTAAAGATCACAAGAGTCACTTTTGCGTAATATAGGACATACCTTTGACACCAATGCAACTCTACAATATCAAATAAGCCCTAAACCAGACTGGACGTTGGATACAGGTGGATGGCAAGACACATTTTCAACGTTTTGCTCCTGAAGGCTTTGAAAATGATCAGACAAAATCACTGAATGAATCGCAAGACCTACAAATAAATACATCTGACATTTTCTTCATCATCTTGAAGCACATCTCAGTACTGTCTTCTGTGGAGAACTGCAGCGTTTGAAAAGGACAATACGAGACGGTTTCTACAACTACAACGGACACACACATACACACATAATCTAATCATTGCATCTATAGGTGTGTAAAAAGCGTTGAAATAAATATATAAATAATAATAATTAGTAACGCATGTGAGTCAGGTTTTTAAAGGACTGGGAAGACTGACGGTGAGCAAAAGGAATTCAAATCTGCTTTTCTGTGGATTGATTTAACGTGATCGCAATGTTAGTGTTCATTAATATGCTCTTGTAAGTCATTAAAGCTACAACGTAATGCTTATTTGACTTTTTTGGGAATTTATAACCATCTTATAATGTTGTTTCTTCACCGAAAACGTAACTGGAGTTGTATTTCGCGTTTCAGTTTTATGAAGAAGAACGCTTGGTTTCAACTCTCGACCGGAGTTTTACGTCTAATTATATTCACTGGACTTGTTTTTATCATTTCTAACTGGTTTTACTACAAATAGTATCTGTTAGAATCATGTTAAGGAGTAGCAATGCTGCTTTTTGTCTTTTTAACATTGTGCATTACTCACTGTCTCCAGCAGAGGGCGACCAACCCACATGATTTAACATTTCTGTGCAGTTTTTGTTAAAATACAGCATGTTAAAATGACGTTTCTCATACATAGGCATTACTTTAAGTTTATTATGAGAATTAACGCGGCTGAATTTCTATAAAACTGTTTAAAAATGGCATGAAATGTGATCTTGTAATACATAAATCAGTTGTCACGTGCCGGATAAGTCTAAGCGCCTCCTCAGCATGTGTTTTAATGGGTTGTGTCATTGCCGGCATTCTCGAAGCGGCTCTACGTCCTTCAGCTGTCAGTGGGGGGAAAAGCAGCTTGTCCATTATTAAGATGAATGTCCCGTAATGAAGCCACCTACAGGCAGATTAACAGGGAAAGACCTAAAGACCTACACCTCGTGTCCAGCTGCGATCTGCAATCTAACCATGGAAATACTGTCTGTGTTATCGATGTACAAATGAACCTTAATTTCACTAATAATGTAAAACAAAAGAGGATTAATGGATGTGTGTGTAAAATCAGAAAGGACTGTGTTTGAATTACAACTTCTGAGAGAAATGTAGAGCTTAAAGTATATTTTAATATGGGTTTTTAATCATGTATTTTAATGTATTGTATATTCTTTTGATAAACTAGTCTTTGAAAAAAAAAAAAAACATGTTTCATTTTCTCCTTATAGTTACCCATCCATCCATCCATTTTCTACTGCTTATCCAGGTCACAGGGGCAGCAGTCTAAAGAGGGACTCCCAGATTTCCCTCACCCCAGACACTTCATCCAGCTCCTCCAGGGGGACCCCGAGATGTTCCCAGGCCAGCCCAGAGACATAGTCCCTCCAGCGTGTCCTGGGTCTTCCCCGGAGCCTCTCCCAGTGGGACATGCCCGGAACACCTCCTGAGGAAGGCACCCAGGAGGCATCCGGAACAGATGCCCGAGCCACTTCAATTGCTCCTCTTGACATGAAGGAGCAGCGTCTCTACTCCAAGCTCCTCCTGTGTGACCGAGCTCCTCACCCGATCTCTAAGGGAGCGCCCAGCCACCCTGCGAAGGAAACTCATTTCGACTTCTTGTATCCGCGATCTCGTCCTCATTACCCAGAGCTCATGACCATAGGTGAGGGGAGGAACGTAGATTGACGGTAAATCGAGAGCTTCGCCTTTCGGCTCAGCTCCTCTTCACCACAACGGTCCAATACAGCGACCGCATCACTGCCGAAGCTGCACCGATCCACCTGTCAATCTCACACTCCATCCTTCCCCTCATTCAAGAACAAGACCCCGAGATACTTGAACTCCTCCACTTGAGACAAGGACTCTCCACTCTCCTTATATGTAGTTAATACGATTAACTGAGATTCAGGAGCAGGACCACGCCTCAGCCGCCCTCTCCTCTCACCAGCGAACCACAACTCACCTCGACCACGCCTCTAATTTCCCAGAAGCCTGTATGTTGCAGCCTTTCCCATCATCCCAGTTTGTCTCGGCGAACTCGACCCCACCCTCCCATCCCCTATTTTGTCTTTCAGTCATAAGACCTCTACAAGGGGGGGTCCCGTTCCGGCTGGATCAATTGTAGATTGAGACGGAGCCCCCGCCCATAGTCTCAGCCCAGTCATCTCTGCCTCGCTTCCTACATTATCAATAAACTTCTTCGCACTATGTCGTTGTTGGCGTGGTCCTAGCTAGTGAAAGTTACGTTATAGTTAAATTTAGCAGTGACATTTGACACATTTTACACTGTTGTGATTGGGAGAGGGCTTTGAGGGTTTATTGTCCAGTATTGCCCAACGAAACAACAACAGTATGTGCCCATATTACGCTATTTTCTGATCTGTTATAATGTTGTTTCCTCATCACAAACAGACCTGGAGTTGTGTTTTGTTTCAGTCAGACAAGTTTTACACACAAACCCTGCAGATTTAGTTTAGTTCTTCTCTCAAACAGGAAAACACTCTGTTCCACCTTGTGATGTCATGTGGTAATACAGGAAGTGCTCCACAGTGTATATTCGCAAGCATAGCCACAGATGCAAAGTGGCGGCTGTGTGGCGTAACGTGGTTGGGTAAAAAAAAAAGGCGTGCTTAGATGGGAAATGAACCAGCTACTCTCCAGTTCATGGTCAGATGCTTAACCCACTAATTTGCCGCTGCCTATTGTTTTAGAAGACATTTTTGCTTCTTTGATACACAGCATTGATTTACAATTTGGTGCATTTCTCTCTTTGATCAAAAAGTTTGTCCAGTTGACAGAGTTGAATTTCTCCTTTGCTTTAATTTAGTGCATTGTTCATTTGGTGGTGGTGATTCTTGCCATAGTTGGCCTGAGGCAGACTGAGGGAGGTGTGGCTCTTAAATCAAGACTGTTTACTGTTTAGTGGCTTTTTGGGTCTAGCTTTCACTAAGATACTCAAAGTGTGAGGCCCAAGTTTTGTATTTATGTATTTTTTCCTTATGGACAATAATAATAATAATAATACATTTTATTTATATTGCACTTTACATAAAATAATCTCAAAGTGCACAGGTAAAAACAATGAGTAAAAAGGTGCAAAAACAGTGGATCAAGAAAACCAGTGCAGGAATTTTAAGATAAAACAAGAATAAAATACAATTAACAAAAGTAGTAAAAAGTATGTTTTAAGATTTTGTTTAAAAACAGAAATAGATTGTGGGGCTCTCAGGTGGTCGGGGAGAGCATGAAAGCCTTGGAGCAGCAGAGGAGAAGGCCCGATTCCCATGGTGCAAAGTTTGGTTCTGGGGGTTTGGAGAGTGTTGGTGGCTGCAGAGCGGAGGGTGCGTGAGGGATGAGGGAGGGTTGCGTGAGGGGGTTGGGGATGAGGAGTTTTTAAGGTACTGGGGGGAGTGACCGTGGATGCATTGGTGAGTGAGGAGGGAGACCTTGTACTCAATCCTGAGTGTGATCGGGAGCCAGTAAGGGATTTCAGGATGGGGGTGATGTGGTCAAATTTTCGCACCCTCATCAGGATCCTGGCAGCGCAGTTCTGATGTATTGCAGTCTCTGGATGCTCCTGCCAGGTTCCCGATGAGGAGTGCGTTACAGTAGTCCAGCCTGGAGGAGATAAAGGCGTGGACGAGCTTCTCTGCATCTGCCAAGGAGAGAGTTGGACGGAGTTTTGCGATGTTTCTGAGGTGGTAGAATGACGTCCTACAGAGGTGTTTGATGTGGGTGTCAAAGGTGAGTTGTGAGTCCATTTTGACACCCAGGTTGGTGACAGATGCAGAGAAGGGAATCGTTTGACCAGAAAATGAGATACTGGTGATGGTGGAAGAGCGGAGCTGATGAATTGTGCCAACCAGGATGGCTTCTGTTTTGGAACTATTGAGTTGAAGGAAATTTAGCTTCATCCACGCCTCTATCTCCTCCAGGCAGGTGGTCAGTGTGGATGATAGTAAGGGAGTGGAAGAAGTGGGGGTTGTCCGTAAATAGAGCTGTGTGTCATCTGCGTAGCAATGGTAGGATATACCATGCTTGGTGATGAGCAGGAGAAGGTGAAAAGTATGAATTTTGAATGTAAAAGTCCAATGAGGTTCATTTGGTCTTCTGATAATTTGTTCATTCACCCGCTGATCTGAAGGTTGACGGTTCGATTCCAGCTCCCACAGATGAATGCTGTTGTTGTGTCCTTGGGGCAAGACACTTAACCCACCTTATCCACAATGTCTGCGTATATGGGTGAGTGGTTCCTTGTTGTAAAGTGCCTTGAAGGTGGAAAAGTGCTATAGAAAAATGTGACCGTTTACCTTTTTTTTTTCTTTTTTTTTCAGAGCAACATCACGTGATCGCTCTGAGGAAATGCGCCAGTGAGCAGTCGAAACAAACTCTTGGGCCTGTTTACACACAAATGCTGGCAGGGAAAAATGACAAAATATTTTATAGGAAGTTTTCGTTTAGACGGAGGGTTTTTGGGGCTTTGTGAAAGAATTTCTGTGTTATTTTAAATATTATGAATCATTTAAAATCATAATCATTTGTGTGTGTGATTAAAGTTATCAACAATTGCGTTTTTGGGTTTTTCCATATGTATGTCATATGTCCTAGTACAAGAACTCCTGACTCATTCATCTAATCTACTGAGTCGCCCATGAGAAGACAGCTAAGGGTTTTTCCCCTCATGTGGTTAGCATAAGTTTTTGGGAGAAAACTGACCAAATTGTTTATCACCTGGAGCCTGAAATCAAGTGTGAAATGGGAGGGTGGTTTAGCCTAAAGATTGTTAGCATGTGATCATTGTAACCATCGTGTGATATAACATAATGTACTGTATTGTTATCTGTGAAATGACTGCATAAAACCTGCTGTTGGGAAGTAGCTGTCAGAGAGTAGGGTCAGACGGCGTAAATGACAGCTTTTCTCTCCTTGCGCAAGTAAATTACCGTCTCATTTTGGTGTGTCTTTATTTAATGTAAATTGATGTCTTAGGGTATAATTCCCTGACAGGCTTAAAAATGCAAAAATATGAAATCACCCTCCAGAGTCCGTCTACACAAGACGCAAAACTCTGGTCAGATCTGCTCAGGTCACGTACGCATTTACTTCACACACATACAGTACATAGAAACAAACATGTCGGATCATTTCCATGTGTCTGGCAGCTCTAATAAACTTACAGGAGTCTCCCAACAAATGTACAGAATCTGCAGAGATACTATGAGTGAACAGAGAAGGATCTGTAATCACCTCTGTCAAATTCTGGATGCACCAGTTCGTCGCAGGTGAGTCAGACCTGGAGAACTAGTCGATGGTGGGACGACTTTGATGCTGATGAAAATGCATGGTGTGAAAATTTCCATATGTTCAAAGATGTCCTCGTTGCTTTAAGTACAAACATACCCAATCGAATTCCACACACTTTTGCGTCACCGTATGCACGCAGATTTCCTCCCGAAAATGCTCGTCTAAAGGCAGAATAAAAAGTGAAGACTCAGCGCCACTTTTGCGTCTTCTGTTCAGACCGTCATCATATAAACGTAGCCTTGGTCTGAAAAAAGATCCTAATAACATAAGTCTGGATTCTGGTGTTCTTCCATAATTTGAAAGGTGCATTGAGTAACTTTTCTGCTGGAGGGTCCGTCAAACACTTTTCTCCATGGAGATGTTGTTGCTTTGTCTGGAATGTTTCAACAGTGTGGCATTAAACCTTTCTATCTTCATGGAGACCAAATCAGATCAAGTTGCAGGTCAGATCTGTGGAGAGGCGACCCCGCTCACAGTCAGAATGCTTGTTTTTTGAGGTATTTTTTGAGCTATAAAACCACCTGAAATTGAATAAATGCAAAGTAGAGCAGCAGAGCAATGATATATCCATAGATTTTTTTTTTTTTTTACATTTTGAACCATTTTAATTTATTTTTTCCATCTCAGCGCTCGATCATTAATAGAATCTTGTGCCTTGCTGTATTAGGCCTCTGTCCGTTCTGGAAGTTACATCAGTGCGTGTCATCTCAGTATTTCTCATAACTACTTAACTATAGACGGGCTTTTGTCTGGAGGGAGGCGCCTGATGGAAACTGATCTTCCTGTTACAAACCACAAGTCAGTT